GCAGAGTAGCATGGGCGTTTGCGACGCTCACTGGTTTTCGAGAGGATGGGGGCTACGACGCGGGTGAGTTGGGTCTGGGGCACTTGCAAGGAGGGAATCTGCCAGGAATGTTTCAAACAGTCAACCGTGGTGAAGCCACGGCTCTATTGGAGTTCGCAGCGGCCATTTTGCCATTAGCGCACGCTGTGTATATCACAGACTCAGATTATGTGATGAGAGGCGTCGAGAAGCTGCGAGAGGGCAAGAGCCCAGACACGCATGTGGACGTGTGGCGTCGGCTTGGAGAGACGATAGCCAACCACCCCGACAAGGGGCTCAGAGTGCTGAAGGTGGAGAGTCACCTCAGCGCGGACGAGGCGCTCGAGCAGGGCGTGAGCCCAGCCAGTTTCCTTGTGAATTCTATCGCAGATGCGGCGGCAAGCAGACTAGCCGAGGAGTTTCGAGTCTCTTTCGCTGATAGGTGCAGGGTGGAAATGTCGACGGCGGTAGGTTTCCACGACAACAACCGAGCGATAGAGCGCTAGCTGACCGAAGAGCGAGAGAGGCACAAAGTGTACAGATCACAGAGCACCACGGCGTTTGCATTGCAGGCTCCAGAGTTCGTTGCAAGGAGTGTGGAGGATCGGCGCCGAGGAGAGAGTTGAACAGATTCCTCGACACTCCTTGCGTGCGTGGCCTCATGAGAGGCGTAATGCTTTCACCAGCGGGAGTCCAAGTTTTTAATGGGAGAGAACTGCATGTTTCACACGCAATCGGGGTCCATCAGAGATTTGGCACTCTGATTTGTCTTCGCTGCGGGTTCTATGCTCAGAAAGGCGCACGGAACCTGTTGCATCCCTGCCAGGGCAGACCCACCGCGCACGGTAGGCGAGCTTTGAGCAGGCTTCAGAAAGGTGAAGTCCCAGCTGTCAGGTCGATAGAGACGGACAGGGTTACAGCACAGAATTAAAACAGTTTGAGCCAATGGCGGGAAACAAAAAAAAAAAAAAAGATCCGGCAGCTCTGGATGACGTCTCGGGCGCCGCGGCCTTCTCAGAGCGTTCCGGAACTAGCTCCGAGAGCGCTCCGGCACGTAGTGGAACGGATTCCTCCTCGTCCTAACCCCGTCCGAGGTTGGCCTGGGTTATGCCCGGGATTTAGCCGGACGAACTTCGATGGAAAACACATAAGGAAGAGCCATGATAAGAACTGTCGGAACTCTGCGCGGGTTTCCAGGGTCGGCTCTACATCTCCTTCCCTGTCGCGCGAAGCGCGCCAGGGGGCGGCGCTGGAGGCGCCGCCAGGGGGGTCCAGCGCCGATAAAGGAGAAACGCGCGGACCTTCGAAAACGTACGCATCATGCAGATTGCCAACTCGACGGTCATGCTCGTCGCACCTCCTCGAACCTGCGGCGGTACCCAGGAACAGCTGAAACTTCCTTTCGATTCAAACGATTGGGATTCGAGCACAACCAACCCGAGCACGCGAGGCGGGATTCCCAGGAGCACTGGGGCACGTCAGCCGCGCGAGGCGGGATCCCCAGGGGGCACCAAATTCCTCGGGGCCTGGCGGCCGCGATATGCAGGGTGTGCGGCCGTGTGCGAGGCGGGTCGGGATCCATCTTCCCTAAATCTGGCGCCCCAAAGTTGTCGGGTGGAGAAAAGCATCCTCCTCCCCTCGACTGTGGCCAGAAGTGCGTGCTCCTGGCCTCCTCCTCCTCCTCCTCCTCCTCCTCCACCTCCTTCTCCACTTCCTCCTCCTCCACTACTTCTTCTTATAGATAATTCCTCCCTGTCGCACCCCGAGGTCAGTTTTTAGGGCGGACCGGGCGTTTCGCCTGAGACGTCCTCACCATTCATGATTCTGAAGCTTACAAATGACAACAGCTTCACAAATGGAGGGCGGGTGGTTTTCGAAATGTGGCCCTTGCCTAAGCGCCGCGCACATTCGTTTTAAACCATGCAAGAGTTTCACGGATTGAGGGCTGGTGGTTTTCAACATGTGGCTATCGCCAAAGCGCCGCGCGCATTCGTTAAAACATATGCAAGGGTTTCGCGGATTGAGTTTCATATATTGAGGGCGGTTCCTTTTCAACATGTGATCTCGCCTAAGCGCCGCGCACATCCGTTTAAACAAATTTGCAAGAGCTTGGTGGATTGAGGGCGGTTCCTTTTCAAAATGCGGCTCTCGTTTTCGCGCCGCGCATATTCGTTTTGAACATGTACAAGAGTTGCACACGTTCCCATCATCAACGTACAAGTAATGGCGCTTTAGAAAGATTCAGGATTCTGCGAGTGCTACACTTGTGTTGATTCGCGGTGTTGAAATCCCAAAATGCCGCTCTGGCACGAATCCGGATCGTCAAGATGCAGCAGTCAGGTTGATACGTGGCGCTGAAATTCCGAGAACGATGCTTTGGCATACTTCAGTATCTTCGAACGGTTGTCTTCCAACGAGGCAATTCCGCCAATGGAAATGAACCGTTCTGGGGGCCTATGAAGAGGGAGCTTGGAGAGAGGGT